TGTCAAATCTTCAAAAATATAGTTGTGTAAAAGGACTAAAAGGATGGATGAATATATACATTGCATTGATGTTTCTTAACTTTGGTGATTTCATGAGAATCATGTCATTCAGTCAGATTGAACAGTGTCAAATCTTCCAAAAAATATAGTTGTGTAAAAGGACTGTGGATGAATATATACATTGCATTGATGTTTCTTAACTTTGGTGATTTCATGAGAATCATGTCATTCAGTCAGATTGAACAGTGTCAAATCTTCAAAAATATAGTTGTGTAAAAGGACTGTGGATGAATATATACATTGCATTGATGTTTCTTAACTTTGGTGATTTCATGAGAATCATGTCATTCAGTCAGATTGAACAGTGTCAAATCTTCAAAAAAATATAGTTGAATATACAATTGAGGACTTTGTGGATGAATATATCACAGATTTGCATTGATGTTTATTAACTTTTTTTCATGAGAATCATGTCATTCAGTCAGATTGAACAGTGTCAAATCAAAAAAATATAGTTTGTAAAAGGAAAAATATACATTGCATTGATGTTTGTAAAAGGACTGTGGATGAATATATACATTGGATTGAGAATATATTTCTTCATGAGAATCATGTCATTCAGTCAGATTGAACAGTGTCAAATCTTCAAAAAATATAGTTGTGTAAAAGGACTGTGGATGAATATATACATTGTATTGATGTTTCTTAACATTGAGAATCATGTCATTCAGTCAGATTGAACAGTGTCAAATCTTCAAAAAAATATAGTTGTGTAAAAGGACTGTGGATGAATATATACATTGCATTGATGTTTCTTAACTTTGGTGATTTCATGAGAATCATGTCATTCAGTCAGATTGAACAGTGTCAAATCTTCAAAAAATATAGTTGTAAAAGGACTGTGGATGAATATATACATTGCATTGATGTTTCTTAACTTTGGTGATTTCATGAGAATCATGTCATTCAGTCAGATTGAACAGTGTCAAATCTTCAAAAAATATAGTTGTGTAAAAGGACTGTGGATGAATATATACATTGCATTGATGTTTCTTAACTTTGGTGATTTCATGAGAATCATGTCATTCAGTCTGTGGATGAAGATTGAACAGTGTCAAATCTTCAAAAAATATAGTTGTGTAAAAGGACTGTGGATGAATATATACATTGCATTGATGTTTCTTAACTTTGGTGATTTCATGAGAATCATGTCATTCAGTCAGATTGAACAGTGTCAAATCTTCAAAAAAAATATAGTTGGATGAATATAAAGGACTGTGGATGAATATATACATTGCATTGATGTTTTCTTAACTTTGGTGATTTCATGAGAATCATGTCATTCAGTCAGATTGAACAGTGTCAAATCTTCAAAAATATAGTTGTGTAAAAGGACTGTGGATGAATATATACATTGCATTGATGTTTCTTAACTTTGGTGATTTCATGAGAATCATGTCATTCAGTCAGATTGAACAGTGTCAAATCTTCAAAAAAATATAGTTGTGTAAAAGGACTGTGGATGAATATATACATTGCATTGATGTTTCTTAACTTTGGTGATTTCATGAGAATCATGTCATTCAGTCAGATTGAACAGTGTCAAATCTTCAAAAAATATAGTTGTGTAAAAGGACTGTGGATGAATATATACATTGCATTGATGTTTCTTAACTTTGGTGATTTCATGAAGAATCATGTCAAAAAATTCACAAAAGATTGAACAGTGTCAAATCTTCAAAAAATATAGTTGTGTAAAAGGACTGTGGATGAATATATACATTGCATTGATGTTTCTTAACTTTGGTGATTTCATGAGAATCATGTCATTCAGTCAGATTGAACAGTGTCAAATCTTCAAAAAATATAGTTGTGTAAAAGGACTGTGGATGAATATATACATTGCATTGATGTTTCTTAACTTTTGGTGATTTCATGAGAATCATGTCATTCAGTCAGATTGAACAGTGTCAAATCTTCAAAAAAATATAGTTGTGTAAAAGGAACTGTGGATGAATATATACATTGCAAAATGGATGAATATAAAAATGAGAATCATGTCATTTTTGAACACCTTTTAAAAGGACTGTGGATGCAACATTGCAAAAGGCAAATGCTATCTGAAGGGAAATCTTGTTTACTCTTTATGTCAAGAAAAAGACAGGGAGACGCCTTATTTTTAAGACACGAAATGCTGATGAAGCAAACAATAGGATAAATGGATTACAGGTCTGTCCAAATTCCTTCTTCTTTGTCCTACCAAACTTAATTTAACCTCCCATTGATCAGTAATACTTTGATCTTTTGCTAAGGCCAAAATGAGAAGAATACTTCTGGCATTATCTTGCTATCTGTGGTTTTATCTTGTAACATGCCTGGAGAACAATGTTTAGCAAATTTATCTCACTAAATATTAATGCTCTAGTAAGTACATCCTCATTGGGGAGGTTTTATACTTACAGATATGGGCTAAAATTAATAAATTTGATGTAGACATTTTGTGTGCATTTCCACTGAAAATCCTGAAAATGTACTATAAAATTGTGTATGTGTGTGTGTCTATGCAAATATTACATAAATGTGTGTGTTGTGTGTGTGTGTGTGTGTGTGTGTTTTTTTTTTTTTTTCTTTAAGCATTTCACCCCAAGCAAGGTGAGAGTGCCACTAGCATGCAAGGGGTTACAGAGAGTGAGAGCAAGAGTAAAAAGTGGTGTTTGAGGAAAGGATATAGAGAAGGACAGGACCAAGGCATCAGAAGATGTCAATTGACATTACATTTCAAGATTATAACCATCAGGGAAGCAAGTAGGAGGAAAAGAGTTCCACTGTTGGGAAGTGTGAGAAAAGAAGCTGTTGTGAGTAGAAGAGGCAGTTACATTTAACCATTTTGACATTGAAAGGGTGGGACTGAGGTGCCAACTTAGTAGCACTGCTTAAATTCATGCAGTTGGGGTACCAGTGAAAGTATCCTTAAGAGTTATCTATACACCAACTCAAACGCAATATGGCACAAGGCTGAATTTAAGGGGGAAGTTCTGTGTGAATGGGATAAAAATTGTCTAAGCTCTCTTGTTATTGCCATTTTGAGATTACTCAGGCACCAGGGATTAAGCTCTGCATCATCTTATAAGTGATGTACTGCCTAGCAGAAAGAAATCCTGGCAATAAGCATAATAATGATTTTAAACCTACATAAAAATGCAGGCTGACCATTTATGTCAACCAGCATATGCCTTATATCATGCCCAAGTTAACAGTTCTTACTTTAATAGAAATAACTAATTTAAATATTCAGGCTAAAAATTTAAGAAATTGTGTTTTGTTATACATTTTCTATTTGATATTTTATGGTCTTTATAAATAAGAAATTGTTTTATTGCTGGCATAGAAAAACAAGTTACACCAACATATCTCAATTACCTAAATACATTATTTGCTTATTAGTACTTTAAGAGTTTGGATAAAAAGAAATGTAAAATTTGTTTGTGTGTGTAAGGAAAAATATTTGTATATGATTTTGACTTGTAGTGAAATCAGATACATTTCAAAGTTGGTCAAGTTTTTCAGTTGATTTGAAAGTAATTATTAGCATTGCTTAGTTATTCAAATGAGGTAATTTTCTGCCTTGAAAATGGCAGTAATTAGTCTTAGCATTTAGGCTTTTATTTATTATTTATATTTTCTGCAAACTTTATTCATCAGACATTTGATAACCCAGATATTTATGACTGACCAGAAGGAACTGAAATCCAGAGACTTGAGACAATTTATCATCTGTGGTCAGTAAATAAGTTAAAAAAATTAACTCTATTGCTACATGTAAGGAAGCATTTTGCTTCTTAAATCAATTTAAATTAAAAAATGCTAACAAAAGAAATAAAAAGAAAACTATTATCAACCTGGTAAGATATTCTGTAATATTAACATAAGATATTCTGTAATATTAACATAACAGTGGAATATTTTAGGTCAAATAGGGAAGATCAGGATATGTGACCATTAATTATATAAAGTCACATTGTGTTTATATTTATTGAAGAAATTATTCAATAAAATAGCAAATTAGCCACTGTAACTTAATTTACGTGAAATCTGATTCAGTATTGATATTAAAATCTTTGGATTGAGCCAGATGCTTTTGTTTTTTTATTTTAAATCTTTTCTAGCTGATCTTATAAGCAAGTGTGTTTTGTTTTGTCGTGGTCTGTAATAATGATCATTAGTTCATTTTTCTTATTTCTCCTGTTACTGTTTGCAAGTGTGCAGTCTTTGCGCAACTGTGTAATTGGAGCCACTTGCTGGGTCAATTACTCCTTCATGTTCTGGCAAGAATAATCAAAATTTCATCAGACATTTGATAACCCAGATATTTATGAGTGACCAGAGGGAAATGAAATCCAGAGAGTCGAGACAATTTATCATCAGTGGTCGGTAAATAAGTTAAAAAAAAAAACAAATCAACAACAACAAAAAAAATCTCCATGGTCAGGCATTGCACCATCGAAATGATGAGTTAAAAAGTAAATCAATAAATTTCATTTTACCAAAAAAATGATGTAATTTATGATATGCACTTTTTGAAAAAGTTCATATGTAATTTAGCGTACAAAATTAATTGGCATGATAGAAAACAAATATAGAAACAAACTGTATTATACAACCACTTCACAATATCTCATAGTCCAGGGACGTGTCTATTACCAGACAACAAAAGTGACATATTGAAGATAAACTTGAAACAGAATGAGTTGTCTGCTTTCTTAGCCTGTGAGGCTCTTTTGTTGGATATAAGCCTTCTTCAAATTCTGCTCATGGGAAGGATTGGTTCATTACCCCTCCAATGCATATTGGTAAATGTAAATTTGATATGCTTGTGTGATCCTGTCTCTTTTTCAATTGATGATCACTCAAGTGAATGTAACAAACCTAGCTGGTATTTGAACTCAACTCTGATTTTTCATTCCAAAACATTATCCATTACACTATCCACACATCAAAAGCTTACAGCGCCTGGTATTTCCAAGTGGTCACCCATCTAGTTACTGACCAGGCTTAAAGTTGTTTAATTTTGGTGATCAGACAAGAACTGGTGTTTCAACATTTTATGGCCATAAGTAGAGTTAGTATCAGGAAGTATCAAAGTTATTTATTCTACATTTAACTGTGTGATCATTGACAGATTTCTTTTATGATTTATAGGAAGTGAAGATGATGAGTTCAAGGAAGAAACATTCTATAATTCATAGCGGGCAACTCATTTGTTGCGGATGGGATATGAGGTGGTGAGATTAAGAAGTAATGCATTACATTCTCTCATTGAGCATGACCTTTTGACTTCTTACATTACCTTTCCCAAAAATCTAAATATCCTGAAATAATTAAACCGAAAAGATTATGTCAGCATACAGCACATACTTTTTTTTTTTTTAATACAAGGATTTACCCAATACAAGGTTCAAGAGCCACTCAAGATAGAGAGATATTATTAAGATGCTAAGGATAATGAGATGTAAGATATGAATGAAAGAGAAGATGGCAGGAAGTGAATATACAGAAAGATATATCATCATCCACAGATAGACTGTTTTGCTGTATCACAGCTCATCAGTGTGACTAGACATCCAATCGCTTATTTTTTCATAAACACACGAGTCACTCAGAGGACTCAATCAGCTTGCAGAGTCTTGCATTATCAGCAGTAATAGTGACTGTTTACAAATTTGTTCCTTACTACACACAGTGTTTGACCGATTAAATTATTTTATCAAGAGCTAATATCATTATCCACAGACAGACTGCTTTGCTGTATCACAGCTCATCAGTGTGGCTAGACATCCAATCACTTCAGGCCAGAACTGAAACCCAACCGCTTTGGTATCAGTTGGAGATTCTAACCCATAGGCCATATATATATAGTTTTGAGGTACGCTATATTTATGCTAAATATCAGGGATAGAGCATATGTAAATATAAAAGTGCACATTGTACTCAACACCCAGCAGTGACAGGCTTTTTCATGCTTAAATGCAATCTTCAGGCCTGAAAAAGAAATAAAAAGAAAACTATGATCAACCTGGACTCATTATTTACTACTGAGAAATTCTGTAATGTTACCATAACAGTGAAATATAAGGGAGATCAGGATGCAGAACCAATAATTACATAAACTCACATTGTTTTTATAGTTATTGAAGAAATTATTGAATAGAACAGCAAATTATCCATTATAACTTAATTTACATGAAATCTGATTCGATATTGATATTAAAATCTTGGGATTGAGCCAGAGATGCTTTTTGGTTTTTTTTTATTTTAATTCTTTTCAAGCTGATCTTATAAGCAAGTATGTTTTGTTTTGTCTTGTTCTGTAATAATGACCATCATTTCATATTTTTGTATTCTTCCTGTTACTGTTTGCAAGTGTGCACAGTTTGTACATAACTGTGTAATTGAAGCCAAATATGGTGTTTAAACATGAAACAGACTGTCACTGCTGGGTGTAGACCTCAATGTCCACTCTCTCTCTCTCTCTTATATATATATATATATATAAAGCACATATGGAAAGGTACAAATCCTCTTCTTCCAGCTATGGGTAAATAGCAGGACAAACGGGGTTCTATAGCCTTGGATGGCAACTGGTCTAGGAGAAGGGCAACTCTGAATTCAAAACCTGCAGACAGTCATTTGGGTACCTTGTGGCATGTTGTGTACCAGGTCTCTGTATTTGGCCTTTCAAAAAGTGTGGATGGTTCTTCACACAACCTTCACCACTATAATCAAATTATATGTGCTGGTGTTGGGCTGTCGGTTCCTAGGAACTGAGCTACTGGACCCTCATATGTCGGCTATGATGGGAGAGTTCAATATATATATATATATATATATATTTAAAGACATTTTATGTTTATAGAAATTTTCACAGAAAATATTCGTCCTCAGAAAATCTGTGAAAATTTCTCGGACATTCAGGCCAGTAAATATTGTTTAATACTTTTTATTATAAACAGAGCATTTACTTAAATATTTGTATCTACAAAAAGAATGTATAAACATAAAATGTCTTAAAATACTTTTCGGACTTTATCCATTTCATAATATATATATATATATATATATATATATTTGGTTGGATAGATGTGAGTTTGTGACCCTGGGTTTCACGCTTTTGCGATCGTCAGATATTGAGCGCTTTCTAATAAGTACCGTGCATATAATATATATATATATATTTATATACACACACTTTTCACATACATATATACATATATATATATATATATTTATTTATATACACACACTTTTCACATACATACATACATATATATATATATATATATATATATATATATATATATTCACACACTTTTCACATATATTTATTTATATTTATATACACACACTTTTCATATATATATATATATATTTATTTATATACACACTTTTTCACATATATATATATATATATATATATATATATATATATTGTTGTAAAAGTTTTGTCCTTTAAGACTTCATTGGAATCAATTTGTTTACAGATGCCATGAATCCTAAATTTCTTATTTTCTAAAATTTTTTGTATTTAGCTAAACAATGTATTTTGTGTATATAATCCATTTGATTTCATATAGATTCTTTTTCTTTTTGCTTCCATCATTTTTGTTATTAGATATCCCACACTGTGAAAATAAATGATCTGCCAGGAATGGTAAGATGTTTACTGTAGATGACCTAGCAATCAAGGCACTCTCTAGACATTTTCTTCTTCATAGACATCATTTTGATTCTGTTGATTACAGTAACACCTGTACAGAAGTAAAGAAAATAATTGTATTAATTGGTTTACATAATGCTGCAATATTCATGTTTTTATTTAATGTACATAATTAGCAAAGGTGTAATCGTTAGCAAGCTTGTCTCACTAGATGAATTATAACTGAGTAGTGAGTTTGATCCTCACTGGTTGCCCCATACTTTCAGCCTTGTGCACTTAGAAAATTACCATAATTAGTAAAGGATCATAAACTTTTTGCTTGTTCTGTATAATGGTAAATAAAAGAACTGCCTTTAGGTCTCTGAGCCTTTGGGCAGAGAAGAATAAAAACAGGTGAAATTAGCCTTGACTTATCACCAATCTGGATGTTTCAGAGGACACTACAATCTTAACCTCTTCAACTCAAGGGTCAATCACTATCTATCCTCTGTATCTTACTATTTTCTCATACATTCATATCACACACTTTGTTCAGTAACCCTCTAGCTCATGTGGCTCTCGAGCCTTGTATTGGGTAAAATTTAGTAAAAAAAATTGTTGTTTATTTTAATTTCATCAATGGATTATTTGGAATGTACCTTGTGGTATAATGTATATCGGCTTAGAATGAGAAATCAGAGAGTCAAGTTCGAATTCCAGTTGGGTTTGTTAGATTCACTTATGTTCGAATACCATTAGGGAAAGGTTTGAATCCATCTCTTCTCCTCCCAGCTATGGGTTAAATAGAAGGACGGTTTGGGTCTTACAGCCTTAGTTGTAATCAGTCTACTGCAGAAAGAAATGGCAACATACAGTGGTAAAATCTCTCTCGTCAGTCATGAATCAAGAGACATGATTACCCAAAAACTTGAGATGAGAATGTCATTATTTACATTCAGACTAATCTTCTCCTCTTTGTTGCTGTAATCACAATGTTCCAAAACAATGTGATAAAAACAAAATGAAGACATTAGTTCAAATGTAAACTTCTCATCTTGGAAATTTAGAGAGAAATCATGTCCGTATTTTGACTATTTTTTTTCTTTTGGAACATTGAATTTTAAACCATTTATTCCTATTAAAGGAACTACATTAAGTAGGGACACCCAATGAATAACAATCTTCTACTGTTTATACTAGAATAGATTTGCACTCAATTTCACACCAAAGGTGCCAGGTGCATGTTTGACCTGAGGTGAGACTGAGGCTGCTGTTTGGAGAATCACATGACCTCACAACCGTATCTAGTGTTTTGCAAGCATGGGAAAAATCGTTATACATGCAGTTATATATAAAAAAAAAAAAAAAAAAAAAAACAGTTAGGAGATGGGTAGTCTCCCAGACATCACAGATAAGCATGTAAGTTCTGTGTTTCAGATGAGGAAATGTGGCCACACTTTTATATGCCAGCAGAAAGTAATTGAAGAACTGGGGTGAAATAAATTATGTTAGTCATAGTCAACCAATCTGCTTCATTACAAGGCAATATAACCAAGGAATTGCGGAATAGATGTACTAAAATAATTTTGTAATAAAAACAAAAGACAGAAAAGTGGTATGAACCCGCCATGATAACCAAATGTTGAAACCATTTGATATTGAATATAAAAAGCTCCAAAAATACACAATTAATGTCCTTCAGGGTGGTGGTATGGTGCATATAGGAGTTGTTTAAACATGTGTTACTGTAATCTAATGCAGGGGCTTTCCTCCAGGTAGGAATCCCTGGGTGGGGGGGGATTTCAGGGTTTCAGTGGAGGGAATTTTTTTTTTAATTACTATTTACAAAATGTGGGGCTCTATCATGAGTGTTGTTAAAAAAAAATAAAATAAAATAATAAAATAAAAAAAAAAAATCCTATAAAAATAATCCATGTAAATATATACTTCATAATATAGAAGAATATAAAAGAATGAAGTTTTTCAATAATATATGCATATTATTTGGAAGGCACCTGTTGGACAATCTTGGAAAGTATAATGAATGACTTTTTGTCATATGGTGAAAAGGATGAATTGGGCAAAATAGGTTAAGAACCACTGATCTAGTAGCTGTCAGTTCAATCCCTTTGATCAGGTATTAGACAATATACACTGGTTCAGCGAGAATAAACAAGAACTGGCATCACAGGAACAAAACAGCCTAACAGATTTCCAATATTAACTAAACAATAGATATCTGAAGAAAGCCAGAGGGTACTTGACTGAAATGTTGTCTAAAACCTCCACAATAATCAAGATGAGAACAATAGTTCAAATAACTTGAAGTATACAAACAGATTCTTTTGAATAACTTGCAAAATGATTGACCTTAGAATATCAGACAATGTTAATTGCTGTCTGTAAAAATTTCTTCAT